AAGTTTAAAAAATATATATATGAAGGGCTAAGGCTATCCTTAATGGTAGAGCACATGCCTTGCATGTGCCAGGCCCTGGGTTCTAACCCTCCCATACTCAGTCCTCAGTCAGAGCTCAGAGCCTTATATAAATAATGTAACAGTAAACAAAATGACATATATTCTTCAATTCTTCAGACTCTTTCCCCACATTGCTGGGTCCAGTTAGTGTCAACAAAACACTTAAAGATAGAAAATCTAGGGACATGAATTATAGAAGGGTGTTGCTCCTGATGTCCTCAGCAGCCCTATACCGCACCTTGACTGTATCTTTCCTCTCTTTTTTAACATTTATTATGAAATATTTAAGACATATGGAATAATGGAGTGAATAATTGTGAACCTACCATAAGCTTAAGAAACAAAACATTACCTGTACTATTAGGTCCCTTTTGCTTGTTCTCACTGAATGTGGCCATTCTGCCATCACTAGTTTGAGATACTTTATAGAGAGCATGCTTTATGAAATACTCTGTTGTCCTGGGCTTCACTGTACGTTTCTGGTCTTTTGCTGTTCCTGAAACCTCTGCTAGGCATTCATTTATTCACCAGTGTGTATCAAGAGCCCCTTGTACACCAGGCTGTCCCAAGTGCTGGGGGTCCATCAGTGAGGTACACATTGGTCCTGTCCTCATGGTGCTCCCATTCAACAAGAAGGACAGATAGTAAGTACCAAGTACCTGACCAAGATAGAACAGTGTTATTACTGCCTCTGTGTACTGTGAATAAAGACAAAGATGGGTACAGCTGTGCGTGGTGGTACATACCTCTAATGTCACATGTGGGAGGTGAGGCAGAAGGATTGTTGCAAGTTTGAGGCCAGCCTGGGCTACATAGCAAGACCCTGACTCAAAACAAAATGAAACAAAACAAATAAAATAAAACTGGGCAAATCAGATTAGAAGGATTGCAGTAAAGTCAATCTGGAGAGCCCTTTCCAAGGAGAAGGCCTTTGAGCAAAGACCTGAAGGAAGCTATGTGAGGAGTTGAGGGAGGAGCTGTTGTTAGTCCAAAGAGCAGCATATGCAAAGGACTGCCGTCTGCTTAAAGTCCTGGAGGCTGCTAGGGTGGCAGGGTGGAGTGAGTGAGGTGGAGAGTAAGAAAATGAGGTCACAGAGGTGTCTAGACAGGACCTTGTAAATTGTGATCAATGTGTGCATTTGAACTTAAGGGAGATGTGAAGCCATTAGAGGGTTTTGAGCAGTGAACTGAAATGATCTCATATTTGAAGAGAATCACTGTGACCTGCCACGTTGGAAAGGACTGTAGAGGACAAGGCCCTACCAGGGAGAACACTTGTGGTGCAGTTACAGGCTGAGTGAGAGATGGTTGTGCCTGGACTTGGTGGTGTACCCGGTCTTTGAGTAGGGAGGAAGGCTGCTTTCATGGTGTGAGGTCTCCCACCCTGGTGATTTCAAGGCCACCATGTGCTTTGGCTGGTACGGTGTCGAAAGACTGCTGCACGGCCTGTCCCTAAGCCTCAGCGGACACCTGTACCCCTCTGCTGGAACCCAGGTCCATTCAGCCTGTGGTATTTGAAGAGGGTGCCCAGGTTCGTCTCCATTTCCTGGGGCAGGTAGAAGCTTTACTACCTTCTTGCAAAGAGAGGGAGTCAGTTTTTAAAGTCCATTGTGTTGGAGTCTTGAAAAATCAGCGTAAACACTAGCGGTCTCACAGGAACGCTGGACTCTTATGTCCTTTGAAAGTCGAGCTCTGCCCCCAAACTCCATGCAAACAGGAAGCTGGTTTGACTTAAGAACATAAAATAAAAACCAGCTGATACCCAGAATGTTTTCCCCTGCTCTTCCCCCTCCCCAGAGCCAGAGGAAAATGATTTTTTTCCTCCTTGGGTAGCTTATTTAGAAAGGCAGAAAATGCCCCAACTATCAATCCTTTGAAAATAAACCCAGACAGGATCTCGTCTGTGGGATTTCCCTTCTGAAAGTGTGTTCCACTGTGCAGAATTCTAGGAAGAAAGTGACCAAAGAACAAAAAAGGTGTCTGCAACCAGACTCTATCACCCAAGTCTAGCAGAGAGTCTGGCACAAAAAGAAGGCGTTTCCCAGAGTAGGTCTTTTGGCTAGTTTGCATGTCATGAAGTCAATAAAGGCCATGACCAGAATTACTTTTTTTTAATTACTTTTTATAAAATGGCGTATTCTAGACTACATCACATACAATATTGTTTTGTGAAACTCTCAGTATTACTCATACACACTTACATGTATGAATACACTAGATCATGATGTAAAGTGTATTTCTTACCATAGTTTATAGTCTAAAATTTTGATAAACCCCGGTCTTCATGGTCTGAGTAACCCATATCGTCTTCCTACTTTAGATTGCTGCTGAAGAGTACAAGCTGGTTTTGGAATCAATTCTCTATAGAACTGGAGTATCTACCCCTAAAACAGCTGCCAAATTGCTATAAGAAGGAAGGGCAGCTGAGAATCAGCAGGCTTGGTCTGATTCTTTTTTTTTTTTTGGTACCTGGGATTGAACTTGGATCATTGTGCTTGCAAGGCAGGCAGCGGAACCACTGAGCCAAATCCCCGGCCCCTTGGTCTGATTATTTTGGACCAGCGCTGAAGCATGCGGGGGAAGGGGTTGATGCAAATTTGAATTCAAGGGCTTTGCGTTGAATCAGATTAATCTGAAGAGAATAGTAGTTATACAGCCTGTTAGCTCACTGCACTTGATTTTGTGACCTCTGCCACCCACCCATGTGGGTCAGGCTGGCTTCAAGTTCCTTTCTGTCCTCAGTAGTAGGTAGCTGGAATTCAAGAGCGCCCTTCCCTCTGAGGTAATTAAAGTCCCAGTGCCAAGATGAGTATCTCCAGACTTCCCAGGATGATCTTGTGCTCTCAAGTCCGTCCAGGTTACTGGGGGCCAGGGGAACATAAAGCTGAGAAAAGAGTGAAAGGAGGCCTAAGTTAGGACAAGTCATCAAGAATGTCTAAGAGCTGGTCGCAAGGTACATAATCCCAGCTGCTTCGGAGGCTTGGGAGGCTTGGGAAGGACATCACAGGTTTGAGGCCAGCCAGGAAAATTTAGCAAGAATCTATCTCACAATAAAAACAAAAGCCAGGGATTTAGCTCGGTGGCATCATGCCTGCCTCACAAGCCCAAGGTCACGAGTTTAATCCCGGATACCAAAAAAATAAACAAATAAAATAAATAAATAAAAACAAGAAAAGGCTGAGAATATTGTTTATTGGAGAAGCACTTGTTTAGCATATGTGCAGCCTTGGGTTTGATCCCTAGTACTGGGGGGTGGGGAATGAATTAATAGGCTAAGATAGGCCAAAATGTGTTTATTCCCCATTTTCTTTTTTTTTTTCTTTTTATTGAGTTTATTGGTACATTCTAGGTATACAGTACAGTTACATTCATTACTGGGATCTTGTACCTTTACATGACAGGTCTTGGTTCTCATTTTTACCCCTTGTCCCTACCCTCCCTTCACCCCTATTCCCCATTTTCTTTAGTGCAACAGCTAGGTCCAAGGGTACTTGTTAAATTTGGTGCTTTCCAGACTGTGGGCCAATTCCCTGTAAGTAAACTGCCTCCACAAATGAATAGACATGTATTAGAATTCCTGGACCACATCCTCCAAGAAGTTCAAAAGACTCCTGGGGCTATCTCTAGGAAATAACTTTTAACTGTACTGTTCTGGGAGTCTCGTTTTAATCTTTGGCCATCACAGGATACTTATCTCCAACCTACTTCAAGCTACAGTGATCCTTGGAGATCGGAATTTAAACAGGCTCTGTAAGAGTACTTTAATTCTTCCATTGGGGCAGTAAGAGAGTAGAGATGCTAAAATTATCCTAAATGATTGTGGGCTTCCCCTCTGTAGAAACTGGCTTGAATTAAGAGATTCTTAATCTACTCACCCTTTAAGTTGTTCTTGCTCATGTTACCCTCCAAGGGCCTCCAAGACACTGTGGGGTCAGTTTTATAGCAGAGTAGTGAACATGGCCTTCTGCATTCAGAAGCTCTCTCTTTGAGTCCAAGGAATCCAAAATCCTTGAAGAGGGCTAGTGCAGGAAGTGCTGACTGTACTGGATGAGTACCAGAGTGGCCAGCAGGACATTGTATAACAGTATGAAGTGGGGGACAAGTGGAGGTCCCAGTGCAATCTGGATCTTACGTGGCATTATCTAGCAGAAAGACCATGAATTGATTTGAAGTTAGCCCAGTGTGGGTCACAATGTGGGGCAATAGTACCGATGATGAGTGATAGATGTTCCTGTGTCATGTGGCCATGTCCTCTCAGGATCCTGGAGCACTTTACACTTTAGAGTGAAAGGAGGCCTAAGTTAGGACAAGCCATCAAGAGTGTTTCTCTCTTCTCTGTGGGAGTTGTGGCTTAATAATTAGTGTGCTGTGATAATCTGCGCTTTTCAGAACACAGCATTAAGCTATGTTTCTGCCTCCTAGGCACAAAGTCTATATAAACTGGCAGCCCTTTGGGAGGTGGAGTCCTCTGATGAGAGAAGAACATGATGGAATGCAAAGCTCAGAGATATCATGAGTCACCTAATTGACACCTAGCTTTCTTTTTGGCTCTTGGTAGATCCCAGTGGCCTATCCTTCATGCCTGCCAAGGCACGAGGATCATTAACTTTCGCTAAGTCTCATAGACCTCGGGGGGCAAGACCCTGGCTGTAAACTGGGACTTCCTGGGTTGAAGGAGAGCTTGCTCTCTTCTCCACAGCTGTGTTTTAACCAGTTGGTTTTCTTTGCTATGGTGCCAGCAGACTGAGCCCCACTGAATGCAGGTGATACACAGTGGCACTTTTCCATGTGATGAATTAACCCATGGGCAGAACAGAGCTGGCAAAGGGTCCTGTTCTCCTGAAGAAAAGCAGCATTGCAAGACAATCCTAGCTGCCTGCAGCACCTCCTCCCAGTCTACTCTGTCTATAACATGTCACTTCTCTGCCTTGTTCTGACAGGTAACCTTGGAGAAGGTGCTGGGAATCACTGTTTCTGGAGGCAGAGGACTTGCCTGTGACCCCCGATCAGGTTTAGTTGCCTATCCTGCTGGGTAAGTATGTGACTTGGAAGAGATCTTCTTTACAGCTGTGCTAGACCAGTTGGGGTAGGCAGGGGTTTTCTGGTATCTTCTGGGAGATATTTCCAGGTTAATGTTTTGGGGCCTTCTCCATTAAGAGATGCCAGGCTGGGGAAAGGCTATTTGTTGAATGTTGTCCTTGTTGCATCCTGTCCTGCTTTTTGGCCACCTACCTTCACCTACCCATCTACGTATACAGATACATACTTTATGTTACACAGTTCTCAGTGCCAGGCTCAGTAACTACCTTCTAGTCATTAAAAAAAAGTTTTATTGATATGTGATATGATACATTTGAAATATGCAAGTTAGGGTTTGGGATATAGTTCAGGGCGAGAGTACTTGCCAACAATGTTCAGTGCCGTGGCTTTGATCCCCAGGCCCATGATAAATAAAAATCCAAATCAGTATTCCCAGAGTTGTGCAGCTATCACCACAGTCAATTTCAGAACAGTTTTATTGACCCTTAAAACACTATATAGTTCAGTGGCATGTACATTTAGCCCCCAAAACTGCTTGGGAGGCTGAAGAAGGATTGTTTAAGCCCAGAGGTTCAAGGTCAGCCTAGGCAACAGGATGTGTCAAAAATAGGGTTGAGGGTGTACCTCAGTGGTAGAGCACTTTCCTAGCATGCACAAGGCCCTGGGTTCAAACCCTAGCACTACAAAAATAAGTTAAAAAAAGAAAAAGAAAAGAAAAAGAAGGAGAAAGAATAAAAGAAAAAGAAACTCTGTACTCATTAGCAATCATTGTCCTACCTCTCTTCCCCAAAACCTCCAACCTTAGGCAATCACTAATGTATTTTTTTTAACAGAAAAAAAATTCTAATTGGAAATTTAGAGGGAAGGTAGGAAAGGACTCCAGCTTAGTTAGCTGAAGGGGGTGTACTGATATAGGACTCAGACTGGGCCACTTGTAGGAGCAGGAGACCAGATTTCAAGGATTCACTGCTGAGCTGGGGTCCTGCAGATCATTATCTCAGGCCAGTTGTCACAGTGTGGCTGAATGTGATTTTGTTCCCAGGAAGAGATCAACTCTGTCTGTGGTGTGTCAGTCATGTGGGGCTCTGCCTATTCCAGAATCCAGATGATCACGGATCAGGACAATGGCCGGAGGCCTCAGGGTATAGAAGAACATCCCTGGAAACATCCCATTAATCTACTTTCTGTCTCTGTAGATTTGCCTATTCTGGATATATTGTGTAAATGGAATCATGATAGTTGGCTTTTTGCAGCTGACTTTTTCATTTAGCATAATGTTCTCAAGGTTCCATCATGTTATAGCATGTGTCAGTACTCTTCCTTTTTGCATCTGAATAACAATTCATTATATGGATATTTTATCTATTCTCCAGTGGATTTGGCTAGTTTCCACTTTTTAGCTAATTGGATTACTCAGCTGCCCTGATGACTTTGAGAGGTGCCAGGGACATGGAAGAGAAGTGGGGACTGTGGCCAGTTTCTTTCCCTTGCTGCCGTTTCATTTCTCTGCTCCTACATGTGAGAAATCCCCAACCATAGTTTTACAGGCTTTTGCAGAAGTGTCTCCTTGGGAGCTTAGGCCCTTTCTGTCAGCCTCTGGCCCTTGCTGATGGGTACAGGAACATGACAGTGACGGGGCCACTGCTTTGCCTTTTTTACCCCACCATTTGGGAATGCCCTTTTCCCCAGTATTATTTCCCTAGCAATGTTTATAGTTTCCATTCCAGTTACATTTTCTTAGTTTTATCATCTCATCAAAAAAGCTACCTTTATCAAGTACTTATTCTATGCCAAGTCATTTTTTTGGTGGTGGTGGTGGGGTTGAGACAAGATCTTGCTTTGCAATTCAGGGTGGCCTTGAATTCACTTAGGCAGCCCAGGCTGGCCTTGAACTTGTGGTGATCTTCCTGCCTCAGCCTCCTGAGTGCTGGGATTACGAGTGTGCACTACCAAACCAGGCCCAGGTAGTTCTTAAGCATGTTGCATAAATTGTTTAATACTTAGAGCAGCATTGTGCAGTTAGTACCATTAGCACTTTCATATTCTAGATGAGGAAATTGAGCTTCAAGGAGGTGAACAGTTTGCTTATCATCACTTCACTGGTGTCCAAGAAGCTCTGACTCCTAAAATGGCATGGGATGGGGGAAGACTGGACTGGTTATTTCTCAAAGCTGCTTTTCCTCTAAGCTGTGTACTTGCCATGTAAACAAGTAGAGTGTAATTTATGGGCAGTTGAGTCTTTGCCCAGGAGATTTCTGCCCCCAAGGGTCTTTCTTTAAGCCCTCTGATGTTTGGTGCTGGTGGGGGGCTCTGCTGCAAGGCTGTGCTGGCATCCTCTCCTCCAGAAGTGCTTTGGAGAAGTTGCTGGATAGGCCTGTGCAGCCTGTCTCCAGGGAATTCCACTCATTCCAGTCTCAGCCCAGGAAAGCTAGGTTTCTTCTTGTTGCCAAGGGGCTGGGGCAGAGGCTAGAAAGAAGATAGGCAGGAAAGGCCCCGGGTGTTGCTCCCTGCATGCTGAGCCCTGTGCCCTTGCTGGAAGAGACTCAGCCCCCTTCCGCTCCTCCACACATCTGGGCCCTAGACTTGGCACCTCCGTGGGTGTGTGCTTGTGTTTATGCGCAGGTCCCAGCCCAGTGTGAGTGCCTAAGAGTCTGTATCCTTCCAGGCAGTGCATGTAGCGCCTCCACCAGAACCTCTAGTAGGTTTCCTGAGTGTGCTTGGCATGGCTAGCCCTGGGCAGCAGCCTGATCTGTTTGTTCCCTTACCTTTGGGTGTCTTATAACTTCAGTTTCTTTCTTTGAAAATGGCTTCTTTCTGGATGTTTTAGTTCTGTCCTGTGCCAGAGCTCTTTAATCTGCTGCCTGGGGACCACCACACTCTGAGTGAGCCCAACAGGCTCTCTGCCTTCCTTGTCGTCCTCTTCCTATCTAGTAATTCTGCTGCCACCCCCAGCCCCCACTCTTGTTCCCATTGTGGTCTAGGAGCCAGCTAAGGTATCCTAGAAACAAGGAGAGAAACAAAACTCAGAAAAGTCTCCCAGAGGCCTAAAGGCAAATATCAGACCAAAACAAAGTATTCTGAAAGGAAATGAAACAGCACAGGACAGAGGGTGAGCAGAGGAACTTCAGGCTGAGGGCGGAGGAGTCCCAGGACAGAGATCCTGCAGTTTTAGGGCTTCCTGTTCTTTTTCTCAGAGCTCTCCCCTTTGCTGTCATTTTCCCCACCTGTCACTTTTTTTTTTTTTTTTTTTTGGTACCGGGGATTGAATTTGGGACCATGTGCTTGTGAGGCAGGTGGAGGAACCACTGAGCCAAATCCCCAGTCCCTGTCTATCATACTTTAAGCTCTCCTACCTGAGCATGTTCTTTGGGGGACTTAGATAAGCTGAATATGCTTGATAATAGTGGGCCGTTTTTCATAGCCCCAATTGCCATTTTCCAGCCAGTCAGGCCCAAGAGTTCCTTGTGGCCCCACTGCCAGAGTAAGGGGGCTGAGTGCGGCTTGACCACTGGAGCAGGAAGAATGCAGGAAGTATGCCTGGGTCTGTGCAGCAGCCTGGAGGCAGCCATGTGGTTGCTTTTGGCAGGGAGGAAAAAAGGGAAACTTTCCCCTGAGAGGCAGTTTTGTTGGAATCTGCGCTGAGATGGCCACAGGCAAAGCAATGGGCAGGGCATGAAGCCACAGAGTCTCTGAACTGTGTAAGTGACACCCCAGCTGGAGGAGTGCAAAGCCTCCTGTTCCTAACTCTGAGGCAGCCTGCATGAGTGCTGGCAGAGTGTAGAGAGGCAGTCCAGAGACCAGGGTCAGCAGGAGGACTCCCAGGCCTAGGGGCCTGATGGGATCACACCAGCGCATGGAACCTCAGTGCCCTCGCTGCCTTTCTCACACTGAAACCAGGGCCTCATAGTCCTTCCCCTCATGGTTTGCTCACCAATGCGTTCATTTGTTTGTTCTGCAGGTGTTTGCTGAAAACCTGCTCTGGGCCAAACATGAGGGATATTAGCAGTGAGCAAGGCAGAGAGGGTCACTGCTTATGTAGGTCAGGAAGTGTTAGCACACAGCACAAGTGAAACAAATGAGCAAGGTAACATCACACAGTGGGAAATGTTCTAGAAAATAAGCCAGGGAGACACAAAGGAAAGAAAGTGAATAACTGGGAACCAAGAGGGGCTGCTTGAAGACTGGGTGTCAGGGTGTAGTGAGGGTAACAGACAAGCCACCCAAATGACAAGGAGGAAGCACCATGTGCAAGTTGACAGCATAGTGCTCAGGTGCAGGGGGTGTAAGCACCTAAGGAAAGGAGGAGCTACTTCGCTTGTGTGAGGCATACACAGCACCTAGGCGGCTAGACTGGATGAGGGAGAAGGGGGGGTGCCGGTATTGCCATTGGACCTTGCTTATGCAGCTCACAAAGTTTCCCCTCTTGTCTGAGAAGGGAATACATTTAGGGTCCTGTGGGCAGAGAAAGGCACTGATAGCTCTGCACCATGGTCCGTGGAATCCAGAGTTCCTAAATCCTGTGTCTTTGAGGAGGGCCTCACGGTGTCTGGGAAATGGGTGTCAGTGGGCCTCATGGCCTGGCCAAGAGGGTTACTTATTTGAAGTCCATGTATCTAAAGAGGACTGCAACCAGGGGTGCCACAAGGAACACACCAGCATCATTATCTCTGGGAATAATAAAAGCTGTAAGATTTCCCCTTTGATTTGGGCTTGGTGTCACACACCTGTAATCTAGCACTCTTCGGGGGTTGAGGCAGGACAATTTCAAGTTCAAGCCTAGCCTGGGAAACTTAGCAACTTAGCTCTCAAAATAAAAAATTAAAGGGCTTGGGATGTAGCTCAGTGTGAAGGCCCTGGGTTTAATCCCCAGTATCCCCCGCAACAAATTCCTCTTTGAAAATGAATCTGGAGGAATAGTTTGTAACTCCACTTCTGGATGAAGCTGACTAATGACCCACATGAGATGCCAGTTGGGCTTCTAGTTGCAACTGCTGTCCTTGGGGTGGCCCTTCCCTTATCACTGTGCATCAGGGTTCCCCTGGAGAAAATGGCCAAGGGTACATGCTGATGACTTGAATTATCTTCAGGTTTCATAGTTCTGTGAGGTAGAAGTTTCTTCTGTTGTACAGTTGAGGAAATTGCGTTTCAGAGAAGTGGAGGAACATACCTGAGCACATATGCGTTAGCAGATGGTCTGTCAGACCACAGTGTTCTTGTTCGTTCTCCACCACACTGCCCTTGGGCATCAGTGAGCCAGCACTCAGGTGTAAGTCTGGAAGAACAATGAACCTGCCATAGGTTCCTCCCCAAGGTTCTCAGCATTCAGAGGATAGATACCCTGCAGATCATGACTTCAAGTGTTATTCAGTCATCACAAGCACTTAAGAGTGCCTGCCTTCTAACAGTAAACAACACGTACAGAAACAGTCTTCACAGAGCTGGCAATGTAGTATGTGAAGGTAGACACCCCCACACAGTAAGTTACGGAGACTATTACAGGTTGGTATGAGCAGTGGTGTTGACCCATGGGGTTAGGTCTATAGAGGATGACGGTGAGCAATATGCCTCTGTGAGTCACCTTCCGGTTTTACCTGACCTGAAAGGAGAACTTTGAGGCAGTGGTTGAGCCTTCTCTGCCTGCTCCCTATGTGTGCCGCTCCACTCAGTGCTCCTCCCAGGTTTCCTTGGCTCTTGGAGAATAGTAAGAGGTGAGTCCTGTGTGTGTCCTTGCTCTGCACAGTGGCTCAGGCCTGAACCTGTGCAGGAAAGGCAGATGTCGAGGACTGAGGCCTGGAGGAACCCTGAGGCCTTCCCCTCCCCTTGTGAGCAATTTCTCTGCACCTTCAGGTTCTGAGTTCAGGAGCCAGCATGTTGGGCCAGCCCAGCCCTTGTCAGGGTGAGGATTTCAGTCTGCACTGCTGCAAGGGGTCCCTCTGCAGTAGGGATGTAGAGGGAGAGAGCCCCGCCCCGCCCCCACACTGAACTTGCTCTAAGTTCACCAAGAAGACTGAGGTGGCTCTTCAAAGGGGCTGAGAAGAGACCCTCCTGCCCTCTTGGGAGGACCAAAGCAAGCTGAGCACACAAGGAGCCTGGGATGCACCACCCTCGTTACAGCATTTGCCTTGTTTGTTTGTTTACTTATTTTTGTTACTGGGGATCGAACTCAGGTCTTTGCACTTGTGAGGTGGGCATGGTGCCACTGAGCTAAATCCCTGGCCCAGCATCTGCCTTATTGTCCCCCATGGATTGATCTTTCTCTTTTGCTGTATTGTTTGGTTTCCTGATCTGAATAATCAGAAGTAAAATTCAGATTAAGGGCCTCCCTCTTTATGTTTCCCTGCCTTGCTTAACTCTCTTGGGCCATGCCTGAGAATTTCCCAGGCTCTACTGGTGCTGGGAGATCATAGAGAAGGGAGAGTTTTCTCATCTGCCTCTAGCCAGTCATCTTTGCTTTGTATGCATGTGTACACACACACACACACACACACACACACACACACACACACACTGCTACTTCTGCCAGGATTCAAACTCAGAAGAAACAGGATTTTGTTTCCCTAGAAAACTTTGAGTTTATGTAATGATCTGGAAAGTGCTTTAAGCAGTCAAATGCACTGCCCTTTAAAAACCACAAAGCTTGGGATAAAAGCACAGGCTTAACAATAGAGCCCTTCACACTTAGTTCTTCTAGACTCAGACTATGGTTGGAGAGACTGTGTATCAATGGAGTCAGTTCAGTTAGAGTAATTCCGCTGGAGCCCTTTGCCGAAGCTCAGCCATAAGGCATCAGAAAGCTAGGTAACTGTATCCAGACAGACCAGAGAAGCCTTTGCTAGAGATGAGCCAGTAGAGGCCCCTCAACAGGTCAGCATAGTTGTAAGAAGGTTCAGAAACCACCAGTTGGCCACTGAAAATTGCTGGGCTTGGAATTCATGATAGTGGTAGTCCTGGAAGGTGGTAGTTTTCACACTGAATAAAGTTTTAGCATCTGAATATTCAATCTGTGGAGTTTGAATGGTAGCTGCTATACTTTTCATGCATCTGTACTTTTCAGGAGTGATAGGACCCAGAGTTCCTAAAACCATCTTACTTTTTCCATATCTTTAAATCCTCCTGACTGTGGTGTTCTAGAAGAAGAGGCAGGAGTTGGCATAAAAAAAGAAAAGGACAAAAGAAGAAGGAAAAGAGCAGGGGAAGAGAAAAGGGTGGAATGTGCTGAAAGGAAACAGTGAGGAGAGGTTGACAAAGGAAGTTAGAGAGATGATGGGACTCAGGCATCCCAGGCTATTGGTCATTGTGCAAGCTCTGCGCATGTCTGGTCACATCAGAGGGCCCAGTGTCCCTAGAGAAGACTACCTGGGGATTTGCACATAGAAGTGGTTTATTGAACCTAAGATTCTAAGCACTCACTAGCAGCTCATGCCTCCTCTGCTTCAACTTTCCAGCCAGCAGTGGGGTTTGGATACGAGAGTTGCAGTGTGGTGCCCACTGCAGAAATGAGGGCTGGGAGAAGTAACTGCCTGTTCCTCCCTCCTCCCCCACTTCCCTGGCATAGCGACTCTAGGCTTGCTCTCGTCAGCTAGTTCCCAGACTAATGAAGAGGTGAGGCACAGGGACAGCAGGGCAGGGCCTGCTCACAGCTGTGGGACCTAACAAGAGCACTGCTTGGTTGCTGGCTTCTAGCTTCTTGCCCCTGTTGCCTGGTTCCTGGCTCCCCTCTCTGGAGCTGCCCTGGACAGTCTGGACCAGACCTCATCCAACAGCCTTGCCACCAGGCTGAGAAGTTGCCCCCACCCTCCCCTGCTTGTCTCCTAGGAGTCAGGAGAGCCTTCTCAGGCTCCTTGGGGCCAGGGGTTCTCTAGGCTCAGCCTGGGAGTTCTGTGGCACTGAAAGCTTTTCCAGGCCCTCTCAAGCTGTCTCTGCACCCCTTGTCACCTCCCGTCTTCCTGGGCTTCCCTACCATTCTGGCTCCAGCACAGCTGCCCACACCCTTCCTATCGTGTGCAGAGTATGGGCTCAGTACCTGCCAAGTACACAAATGTGTCTGGGTGCAAGGCCTCACCCCTCTTTAGTGCACAAGTGATTGGCATGTGTGTGGTTCCAAGCCTGAGAACTGGCTGTACACTTGAGTCTTGGTTTGCCCAAATCAGGTTTATTGTTCCCCCTTGTTCCCCCTTTCTGGGGGAGGCAAGGGCAGTGGGAAGGCTATGTCCCTGCTGCCCCTCATGGGCATGGCCACCCATGGGGCCAGTGCTTAGGGAGCTCCTTTAGTCCCTGGAGCTGCAGAGATGACCCTGCTGGGTGGGGAAGGAACAGGAACAGACTGCCAGGAGCGAGGAGTTGAGCCCCTTTTGCCATAGCTTCTGGGTGACCAGAGGTTGCAGGTAGTGTGGGGCTCCTGGAGAAGTTTTGGTTCGGTACTGAGCCTGACATCTTGCTGTCTCCTCAGGTGTGTGGTCGTGCTGTTTAATCCCCGGAAACACAAACAGCACCACATCCTCAATAGTTCCAGGTAGGTGGGCCTGACTTCAGGGATCACCTCTTCTGCTTGGAGCTCTGGAACTCTGGGGGCTGGGGCTTGGTTGGGCCCAGGGCCAGATAGGGAAGTACCACACATACTCTTGGGGTATGGCCTTGGAGGGGCTGTGGGGGCCACTAACACTCTTCTGAGCATACCTGATCTCTTTCAGGAAGACCATCACTGCCGTGGCCTTCTCCCCAGATGGCAAGTACTTGGTCACGGGAGAGGTGAGTGAGGTGGAGGGGCAGTAGCACTGCGCAGTGTGGGTGGCCTGCTCTTGGCCAAAGCCTCAGTCTTGTGTCCAGTTAGCAGTGCTGTCAAGTCCTGACTTTTTGCTGTCCTTTAAACAGTGGCTCTTAAGTATCAGTGTGTATCAGAATCACCTGTCAAAGTGCACATTGCTGGGCCTGCCCAATTTTCTGATTCTTTTGGTCTGGGATCCCCCAACTTGCTCTTCTAACATTGCCTGGTAGTGCTGACAAAGGCTGTTAGTTTGCACACCTTGAAAACCACTGCTCTAACATAGTCCTTATTCTCTTCTGCCCCTACTGGGCACAGGGGAGCACTCTGCCCTCAGTCTGAGCTGGGGTTGGGGCAGGAAGCCCAGGAGTGGTGGTGGTTCTGACGCCTGGCTGCTCATCCGAATAAGTAGGCTCATCCCTGTGCAGATGCAGACCCTCACTGAGAGGTGCTGAGTAGGATCCAGAGCCACTCCCTCCCTGGTGCTCATTGGTTCCCGAAGAGACCTGTCATGCCCCTTTGTCCCTTGGTCCTCTGCAGCACCCTGCTCTTGACTTTGAGCCGAGGTCCTTAGTGGGTGGTATCTAGTAGCAGAGGAGGCCAGGCCCCATTCTGAAAGGCTGACTGAGGCTGCACACCCCTCTGTGTTCCTCACACCCCCTCTCCTCCCTTCAGAGTGGTCACATGCCTGCTGTGCGGGTGTGGGACGTGGCTGAGCATAGCCAGGTGGCAGAGCTACAAGAGCACAAGTACGGTGTGGCTTGTGTGGCCTTCTCCCCCAGTGCCAAGTACATTGTCTCCGTGGGCTACCAGCACGATATGATCGTCAATGTGTGGGCCTGGAAGGTGAGTGGATGGACTGGGTGGCCTGGCAGCCATGTGGGGCTCCACGTACCAGCCAGGGAACAGGAAGCCACTAGCCTGAGCTGTTTCACTCCACCCCACTGATTTCAGGCTCATTCTAGAAAACCACTGGAAGCATAAAAGAACAACTATGTGCAAGCGTGTTGTTAGAAAGAGCTGGCTTTATGCCTACAAGTACCTCTAGAGGAAATGCATTTTTCAGTTCCTTGAGAGAGGGATTCTCCTCTACCTCTCTTCTTCTAACCAGCAAATCCTGGAAAGAAACATTTTTTTCTCAAGTAGAAGTTCTTTCTAACCTCTTCCATTCTCTGAGCCTCTTTTCTCCTTTTATTCTTTTTTGAGACAGGGTTTCACTATGTAGCCCAGTCTGGCCTCAAACTCTCAATGATCCTCCTGCCTCACCTTCCCAAGTACTGGGATTACAGGGGTGTGCCACCTACCTGGTTTAGCCTCAAGAGGCAGAGCCTAGATTCTTCCTTTGACTTTCTCTGCAGAAAAACATTGTGGTGGCCTCCAACAAGGTGTCCAGTCGGGTGACAGCAGTGTCTTTTTCTGAAGATTGCAGCTACTTTGTCACTGCAGGAAACCGGCACATCAAATTCTGGTACCTCAATGACAGCAAGACCTCAAAGGTAAGGCTCTGAAGCCCGGCCCAGCCTAGAGGACTGCTCCTCTTGGCCTTCTGCCTGCTCAGTGTCACACAGAAGTTTTGGATGAGCCAGTTGTTACTTGGGCCAAGGAGGGGTCTCGGAATACAGGGGCTTGCGGCATCCCCTTCTGCCTAGGGCTGTGTTCTCAGGGGAAGCTCAGGGCTGGATGGATGGCGGTGCCGTGTCCCCACAGGTGAATGCCACCGTGCCCCTGCTGGGCCGCTCAGGGCTGCTGGGGGAGCTGCGGAACAACCTGTTCACCGATGTGGCCTGTGGCCGAGGGAAGAAGGCTGACAGCACCTTCTGCATCACGTCCTCTGGGCTGCTGTGCGAGTTCAGTGACCGCAGGCTTTTGGACAAATGGGTGGAGCTGAGAGTAAGCACCTGTGCCTTGGGGGAAGGGGATCACCTGTGTGTCAGATGGAGGACTGGCAGGGGGCTGCAGACCAGGGGCTGGGTCTCGTGTACAGGAGAGGACTCCAGTGTAGCTCCTGGTGATCTGTGTAACTGCGCCCTCTTGCTCTCTCTCTCCCTCCTCTCTCCCTCTCTCTCCCCCCTCCCCCTCCTCTCTCCCTCTCTTTCTCTCCCTCCCTCCCCCTTCCCTGCTTCTTTCCTCTTCTGCTCAGAATACAGACAGCTTCAGAGTAAGTGCTGCCTAGCCCTGCCTCTTCCTCAAGCTGCTGTTTTCTCTTTGTTTGGCTTTTCCTCCTCTACCCTCTTTGCTAAAACCTCTGGGCCCCTGGTTTCCATCCCCTGGCTGTACAGGGCTTGAGCCCTTTGGCCACCTGCTTCTGGAGGGGAGGGCATCTCAGTGTCAAGCAGCTGAGGGGCAGGACAGAGCCAGGCTGCTGTCCCCTTGGCCTGCCGGGGCTGGTCTCTCCTCTGGGCAGGGGACTTGCTGAGGGTCAGAGCAGGTGGGGAGACTGAGTGGGCTGGTGGTCCTTCTGACCTGAGCACTCTGCGTACAGACCACAGTGGCGCACTGCATCTCTGTGAGCCAGGACTACATCTTCTGTGGCTGTGCTGACGGCACCGTGCGCCTCTTCAATCCCTCTAACCTCCACTTCCTCAGCACCCTTCCCAGACCTCACGCCCTAGGGATGGACATCGCCAGCATTACCGAGGCCAGGTGAGCTACATGGGTCCTGCCTCTGTTCAGAGCTTCACTCTGAATCCAGCTTCTGTGTAGTGCTTCAGGAAACAGGCGATGCCTGAAAAGTACTAGGCACACCTTTATAGACAGATAAGTTTGGGTTATTGGAAGTTATTGGGACTGAGCAGACCACACACCACAGAGTGTGGGGAGTGTCTCAGTAAGTGGGTGTCATAAGGAATTTCCAGGATTTGGGCTTTTGTTAGATTAATTTAGGAATAGTTCCAGGGGTTGATGTTTTATTCTGGTTGTATGCTGTCAAGAAATGGGAACAAAGATGGGCATGATGGTGCACACCTGTAATCCCAGCACTCAGGAGGCTGAGGCAGGAGGATCACTGAATTTGAGGCTATCCTGTGCTATATAGTAAAGACCCACCCTGAAAAAAACAAAACAAACCAAAAGATGGGGACAGTTCCACACCTGAACATCTAAATGATCTTTATTGAACAGTTAGAAGAATATATATGTGGTAAAGAAGTGGCCACTGATCATGTTAGATGGGAAAGGGTGATGTTTGGTCATTTTGGGGTTTATGTGGTGATCTGGTTTTCAATCCGTGTACAGACATGATTACAGAACAGCCTCATTTTTGTTTCAAACCATCATGGGCACAGAAATACCTTGTTTGGTGTTGCTGTTCTGGGAACTTGTTTGTGTTTGTTAGAAGAGGACCATGGCCCAACAGCCACTGTGGGGTCAGCTCCCATCTGATGGCTCTTAGGGGCTGCTTTCTCTTGTCAGGTAAGTCCAGTACTTCTACACCTGCAAGTCTGGAGAGGATGCCCCATGCCATGCCCCTTCCTTTGTGAATGGCTTGTCTTCCTTCCCCTTGATCTCACCAGTTGTCCTTGTCATCTCCCCTGCAGTTGCCTCTTCTCTGGAGGGACCAATGCCAGGTATCCAGACACCATTGCCTTGACCTTTGATCCCACTAATCAGTGGCTGTCCTGTGTGTACAATGACCACAGCATCTATGTTTGGGATGTGAGGGACCCCAAGAAAGTGGGCAAGGTGTATTCAGCTCTCTATCATTCCTCCTGCGTCTGGAGTGTGGAGGTAGGTGGGTTGAGCTGCTGGAAACTGACCTGGTTTGCTGGGATGCCCTGTGAGGATAGAAAGTGGAGAGCCCAAGTGTAAACCATATTTTCCTGTCACCATCCTCCTCCTCTTCTCACACCTTCATCATGGGTCTTAGTTACTTTCTTTTATTTATTTATTTATTTTTTTTGGTACTAGGGGTCAAATTTGGGCCCTTGCCCTTGTGAGGCAGGCACCAATGAGCCAAATCCCCAGCCCTTAGTTACTTTCTTATTGCTGGGACAAAATGCCCAACACCCACAAGTTAAAGGAGGAGAGGTTTATTCTGGATCATGGTTTATAGAGGTTCCCTTACTTAGTCAGCTGGCTCCAAGGCAGGGCAGCCTGGCAAAGAAGAAAGAGCCTTAGGCAAAGCAGGCAGGAAGCAGTACCTTTCTGCTTCTTTCCCTTTTATTCCATCTCGGATACAAGCCTATTGGTTGCTGTGACTCATGCCCAGGGTGGGTCTTCTCTCTTGAGTAAATCCATTCAGCCACACCCAAAACTATGCTGAACCAATTTGTGGACTAACCCAGTATCTCACACTCATGATCCAGTCACTCCCTAAAGCCCCACCTATGCACTGTTGAGGCTCTTGGGGGGCATCTAGATATTAACCATCATACCCCTTTTATGCATCATGGGGCTTGAGCATGAATTTTAGTGCTTATGCTTCTCAGGCTTCTGCTAATATGCCCCTGTCCATCCTTAGTTTTGTCTCATCCTCAGTGCAGTGATCTTGGACAAGTTGCTAAGCTTTGGCCAAGCCTTTGGTTTCTTCAACTGTAAAAGATTTCGTCTAATTGTTGTAGAAATGAAGTGAGATGCTGTAGGTGGGTTACATAGATGTATGCCTGGTGCACAGCAGTTACACAGCTAATCATCTTTCCCTTTGTAATTATAGACATGTAATGGTTATGTCTTGCTTACTGTATGTGGGGTGCACAGCTAAGTCTGAGCCAGTGTTCTGTCTTAATTTTGTTACCATCTCTTTGGCAGGCAAGGGACTGCTGTCTAAATGGGGATCTTACTCTTCTTTCTGTCCCTGCAGGTCTACCCTGAGGTGAAGGACAATAACCAGGCCTGCCTGCCTCCCAGTTCTTTCATAACCTGTTCCTCAGACAACACCATCCGCCTATGGAACACAGAGAGCTCTGGGATACATGGCTCCACCCTGCACCGGAACATCCTCAGCAATGTGAGCCTGAGGTCCTCGCGCCCCACTTTCTGCTTTGTACCCACACCTATAGCTTTCATGCTTCCTTCTCAAGGGCTCCCTCTCCAGACCATGCTCTTCTAGCTCTTCCTTACCCATGCTCTGTGAGCCAGCGCTTAGCTTGCCTAGCATTCCTCTCCCTTCACAGCTGTAGTCCCCTGAGTTTGCCTTACCCACCTCTCTGACCTGTTCCACCAGGATCTCATTAAGATTATCTACGTGGATGGGAACACTCAGGCCCTTCTGGACACTGAGCTGCTGGGAGGAGACAAAGCTGATGGGTCCCTGCTGGATCCTCGTGTGGGCATCCGCTCTCTGTGTATCAGCCCCAATGGGCAGCATCTAGCATCAGGAGACCGGATGGGCACACTTAGGTAAAGTTAGGCCTAAAGTGGGCACTCACTGCTTCTCACTATATAGAATGGAATAACTAGAGTCTTAAGGATAAAGCTTTAAGAGGGGCTGTCTCAAAACAGGTTAAAGAAAAAGGTATTTATTACTTGAGAGTAACTGCAATGGAGAAACCCAGCAGAAACCATCTTAATCAAGTGATCTTAGCTAGAGTGCATACATCAACACCATGCAGTCTATAATATGGTATACTAAGGACCTAACACTGTTTCTGTAACTTTTTTTTTTTTTAACCAAAAAAGGCATAAACTAAAACTGGGGATGGTGGAGCACATCTGTAAATCTAGCACTCAGGCTGTGACAAGAGGACTGCAAATTCAAGCCCAACTTGTGTTGCCTGGCAAGACCATTTCTTAAAAAAAAAAAAAAAGACATCAATTCACTTCAGTCATGATAACACCAGACAGGCTCAAACTGAGGTGCATATGACAGAGTAATTGACCAGGACTTTTCAAAAAGTGTTAAGGTTGTGAAGGTTAAGAAACAACTAGAGGGGACCGGGGATTTGGCACAGTGGTTCTGCCGCCAGCCTCGCAAGTGCAAGGTGCTGAGTTCTGATCCCTGGTACCAAAAAAAAAAAAAAAAAAAAAAAAAAAAAAAAAAAAAA